TTTTATTGTACGTGCATTTAATTCTTCTACTGTTTGCCTTCACCTGTCTTGTATATGTCGTTCACCTTTCACCCGAGAAGCAATTATATTTGTCATTACGTATGAATGTATATTCCCTTGCATTTATCTAGTTTGCTGCTGCACTTTCACTACTATTTGTTATGAATATTTACGGTAGCAGTTGTCCACAATTAGTTGTGTTAACAAATATTTTACTTTTCTGTTTCTTTCATTTTACACATAAGTACGGTATGGATTTGGGAGTTAACCTCTTGCATATTGTATTTTTTTTTCACACACATTCGTTCTACACGTTCAATTCAGTCGCACAACCAACATAGTAATACAAATTGGTTTTATGTACAATAGTCCTAAAAGTTGCAAAAATGAGAAGCAAATGACTCATTTTTGCATACTAAATCTCAAGCGCAAATGAGATCCATTAGATCTCATTCTGTATAAATGAGTTCCAACGAGGTTAGAATGAGTTCCAAATATGTTCCAAATGCAAAATGAATTCATTTCTTCCATTATGAGCTATCGCTTCAAAGGCTCCTTCTGGAGTAAAGCTATTTGAGTAAATAGCTTTCGAGATATTGTTGCCTAGTAGATTTCAAGTTATTTTTAGGTCAACTTCTCTTTGATAACGGTTAGTAATAAAAATGAAAAAAAAAAACAAAGTATTAAAGGAAATTTATAATATGAATTAAAATATATTTAAAACATGACGATAACTTGATATATTTATGTAACAGATTACCTGTTAGATTATAGTTTACACAAACCATTTATTTCTAATTAGTTACCTTTTAACTTTGAGTTCTGAAAAAATAGAAATTCTTTATTCTAGCACAATTGATATCCTATATGGGTTTAAGTTAACATAAAAGATCTTTGAAAGACCTGGTGTACGATTGTCGCTCTTTATAATATTACCGTCTTAAGTTAATTATTTGATATATAATAATTTCAAGGCTAAAAAATTGAGGTTAGTGTCATGAAAAGAAACGCTAATAGATTAATAAGACACATATTTTAATTTGTCATCAACATTTTATGACTAATATATATGTATATATATTCGTATACATACATATACAATATGAGATATTGACGCAAGCAATCCTGTTCTTAAACGGGCATCACTGGCTGTATGTATTTCTATATATATACATACTATATTTATAAATAATTTATATCTTAATGTTTCAGCTTCCCAATACTTATTTTTATTATACATACACCAAGAACACATAAACCTTAATGCGCATGTCTGTGGAATATATTTAATACTTTGGTTCCGTTACCATATGTCAGATATGCTATGGTGTCATTGTTTATTGCCTTAAAAAAAAGACAACTAGAAATGTGAGATCAAAAAAAATTAATAAGGAAGCCATTTAGTTCATATATACAATATAGTTTAATAAGAATTCTACACAGAACTACAAATTGTTTATTAATATTAATTGAATGAATAAGAAGTAGGCAGTTTGAGTCCATATCAAAGAGTTCAGGCTTATATTAATTTTTTTATAAAAAAATATATAAATAATATTTCGGTGACTATGACAGTCATGGGTGTAGGCAAGGGGATATTATGAGAGGAGTGGCCTCTCTAAGGGTGTAATTGAATTAATCTTTCATAATGAAAAAAGGCTCAAGGGACTACTATTCCACCCAAGTATGATTGATCAATGGCAAAAATTGTGGATATGTGTAGGTATGTACAGGAAACTAGCTTCTCGATTTACAGACATTAACAGACGTAATGCTATATATTAAACAGAACAGAGCTTTACTATTTCATTTAGTTAAATTTTTTTTTTTGCTTTTTTGTTTTTTAAACTTGTATTCAATATCTTGTTATTTTTGCTGTAGACGCCCATGGGGATGTATACGGTAGATAACATGAAATGAATTACAAATACGAACATATGGTTTATAATATTGTTAGGTAAAAAAAGTGTGTAAGGGTTTTATGGTTGGGTAGCATTTTAATTTAAGCTCATCTGACCTAACGTGAAGAAACCTACCACATTTAATGGATCGGAGTTAAAGCCTAATTGGACTGTAATTGGTGTGTGCTTTACGATATAAAAACAGATGGGCAGTATCATGGGGTAGAGCGGCAGTTAGAGCAGATATTGGGAATTGATATATTTATACAAGTAACTGTAAAGCACATGGCTAATTTCGTTAAATTTCTTACTAAGTTATATACCTATATTATTAGTACAACTACTAAACTACAGGAGAACTTATCACAGCAGTACTTAAGAAAAACAATTTATAATTTTTTAATAGATATATGAGAAATATTTTGAGAATGTGAAGGGCTGGTTCTGTAAGTAACGAAGAGAACACACCAGATTTATATAAATACATATAGATGTAACAACGCGAAGATACAGCTTGATAGGTCACATACTAGGCAAGCCAATGACGTCATTTCACTTGCAGATTTCACATAGAATATTCAAGTTACTCGGTGAGGTATATATTAAAAAAAGAGGATTCAAAACTATCAAATTGTTTAAAGATTTAAGAGGAATTGGCATCTATATAGAAACCTTAAGATTTTGATAGAAGTTTTAGACTTAATACTATACTAATATAGTTATATCAAAGTTCTACATAGATATATATATATATATATAGTATATTTATGTACATTAAAGTCATTCAAATTAATTTTAATGAATTTATATATCAATAACTTGTCAATACACAGCAAGAAAACATGTTTATATTTCAGTAGTAAGTGACTATATTTGTCAAAGTAATTAGTCTCTTTATTAATTGTAGTGAAATCACACGAGTTCCTTAATTACTGCACACTTTGGAATAAATTTGTTTAATTAATTAAAAGCAAACGTCACGCCAAGTCAAATCAACAATTTTTTACTACCGCCATTAACATTTTTTATTATTTTCATTGATGTTTGTTTTTTGTTTTTTGTTATTATATTATTGTTGTGAATGTCGCCAATATATAGCGTAGGTGTTTGGTGTTTCCACAGTTTGCATTAAATAAAAAGTTTTGGGGGGCACGTCTCACAAGTGGAAAGGTCATTTCGTTATTTATTTGTAAGAAATTCTGGACTGGCTACGTGTTTTCTGGCATGTGCGTGCCTCGTCTCCATCTTTCGCGCTATTGTTCTCGTCGTCTCTGAAACAAAAATGTAATCAAAACTCATATACCATACAAATCACCACCCTACGTACTCAAACAAATTTCTTTAATTAATATATCTATGCTCTCCAACCGAACTCTCCGCTCTTTACTCATAACGAAATTTTAAAAAGTTAAGAGAAATACGCATATTTCCATAATGGGCAAGTGAAAGAGTATTGGTGGATAGTGAAGAGCATCGCATGGGCAATAAAGGTTACTATTTTACTCAACATGCTGAAAATATTTTATTGATGTAGGTCTTGCAGGATTCATAAACTGCCTTGACCTAATACATAAGCATCGTAACGTTAATACAAAACACTAAAAACATTTATAGTAAATTATACAAAGCATAGACCTCTACGGAATCACGTGCAAACAAGTGACATATGATTAATTGGCTCAATAAACGCTATAGATTACTGAGCTTCAAATTATAACGAGCGGTTAAGTGCAAAATGATTTCATCATTAAGTAGATTAATTATTCAAAAATACAAACATTTTAACTAATTTTATATTGTTATTATATCTAATAATTATTTACTATTTTTTTTATGTTAATCAATCGATAATAAATTAATTGAAAGATTACTAATTTAATAAAAAAAATTACTTGATGATAGTCAAGTTAATTTGTGGTTTATCTAACTGCGGTCATTAGTTCCCATTGGTATTATTTATAGCTTTATGGTGTAATTTAATTGCTTTTGACTTTCTATAAAACAATTTTAAGTTACGTCAACTTTAACAGTTAACAGTTTTCACTATCTCGGACTGCATCAGATCAGAAGCTAATGTTTTGTATTAGAACAATTGTAGACAAAACGTTTTAAACACTGTCTTTCAAAATACAACAGATTTAAATAGATATTTAGTTAATTTTCTTAAATCTATAGTATTAAGGTTTGTGTTACATGATGATTCTTTTAAACATAGACATATGGAATGTTTGATGACGATATACTGCCTGAACTACGATACCAAAACCCTAACAACGCTACTTATCTGTTCAAACTTTATTACAAACTAATTTGAGCCCATTTAATCTGTAGATTTGTTCCATCAAGATGACAAGGAGCCTGAACCTGCAGTCAGATTATACTTTATTATTGCTATTGAGACCATTTGATAAGTGGTTTTGTCTCATGAAAATGACAAAGAACCTGGACCAGTAGTCAGAATAAACTTCTTTTTTTTTGCTATCTTCTGCATTGCTTACCGCCTCATTCTTTTTTTTTAATTCTTATTTATTTTTATTTTCTACTTGCTGTTTTTATAAGCGAATGCCAAATATTAGTTTTTTCTGGTATTAAACTTTTAGCTCACAGCTCCAGGATCTCTCTCTAAAGAGTTTTAAAACTTTGCCAAAGGTACAATGTAGTTTATAAAGTCTAAATTTTTATAATGGGCCAATAAGCCTAAGTTGATTCTAGGCTTATTGGCCCATTATAGAATTCAGAATTCCATTTTAAAATCAAATTAAATTAACTATTAAGATATCACCACAGTATATATAAATATTCACAATAGCTCATATAATAATTGGCAAAGTTTATTTTAAAACTTTGCCAAAGGTACAATGTAATTTATAAAGTCTAAATTTTTATAATGGGCCAATAAGCCTAAGTTGATTCTAGGCTTATTGGCCCATTATAGAATTCAGAATTCCATTTTAAAATCAAATTAAATTAACTATTAAGATATCACCACAGTATATATAAATATTCACAATAGCTCATATAATAATTATGATTTTTTTTTATTACTTACAGATTGTCGCGCGTCGACATGATTTGAAGTTAATAGTCACTTCTGCTACTATGGACTCCACAAAATTTGCAACATTTTTCGGCAACGTGCCCACTTTTACCATACCTGGACGCACATTTCCAGTGGATTTGCTATTTAGTAAGACTACCACAGAAGATTATGTGGATGCGGCAGTAAAGCAAGCATTACAAATACATTTATCGAACAGTGATGGAGATATGTTGATATTTATGCCTGGTCAAGAGGATATTGAAGTTACTTGTGAAGTACTCGCAGAACGATTAACTGAAATTGACAATGCCCCAAAGTTATCAATACTACCAATATATTCACAATTACCATCAGACTTACAAGCTAAGATTTTCCAAAGATCTCCAGAAGGTTTGCGTAAATGTGTTGTTGCTACAAATATTGCCGAAACTTCGTTGACAGTTGATGGTATTATTTATGTCATTGACTCTGGTTATTGCAAATTAAAAGTCTACAATCCACGCATTGGTATGGATGCACTTCAAATCTATCCCATATCGCAAGCCAATTCTAATCAACGTTCAGGACGTGCAGGGCGTACAGGTCCAGGACAAGCATTTCGTTTGTATACACAGCGGCAGTATAAAGATGAACTTTTGCCATTAACAGTACCCGAAATACAACGTACTAATTTAGCTAATACGGTACTGTTATTAAAATCACTTGGTGTAGTTGACTTACTGCATTTCCACTTCATGGATCCACCACCACAGGATAATATATTGAATTCAATGTATCAATTGTGGATATTAGGTGCATTAGATCACACAGGAGCGTTAACACCGCTTGGACGTCAAATGGCCGAATTTCCACTGGATCCGCCACAGTGTCAAATGCTGATAGTTTCATGTCAAATGGAGTGTAGTGCTGAAGTACTGATTATAGGTAATATAATTAAACAATAAAAATATATAATAAAAAAAAATGTTATAGCATGAATCTTTTGAATGATTTTATAATGAAATTAAAAATAAAAAAAATTGTAATATTTACTTTCAGTATCGATGCTTTCGGTTCCGTCTATATTCTACAGACCAAAAGGCCGTGAGGAAGAAGCGGACGGTATACGTGAGAAATTCCAAGTACCCGAGTCTGATCATTTAACCTACCTCAATGTTTACCTACAATGGAAACAAAATAAGTTAGTTTTATTGTTAAATTATTTTTATTATTATTTTATGAGATATATATATTTATTTTTTTTCTATTTAATTTTTTAGTTATAATGCGAATTGGTGCAATGAACATTTTATACATGTCAAAGCTATGCGTAAAGTACGCGAAGTACGTCAGCAACTAAAGGATATTTTAATACAACAAAAATTAAGTTTAAAATCTTGTGGTACCGATTGGGATATCATACGTAAATGCATTTGTTCAGCTTACTTTTATCAAGCCGCTCGCCTCAAAGGTATTGGCGAATATGTACATTTGCGTACTGGTATGCCTTGCCATTTGCATCCCACTTCTGCACTTTATGGACTTGGTACAACACCTGACTATGTTGTTTATCATGAATTGGTAATGACAGCTAAAGAATATATGCAATGTGCCACTGCAGTTGATGGGTACTGGTTGGCGGAACTGGGTCCTATGTTTTTCTCTGTTAAGGAGACTGGACGAAGTGGTAGAGAAAAGAAAAAGCAAGCTGCCGAACATTTGAAAGAAATGGAATTGCAAATGAAATTAGCGCAAGAACAAATGGAGGAACGTAAAATAGCAGCAGCACAGAGAGAAGAGCAACTAGCTCCGAAACAAGAGATCGTAACACCAGGAGCAACACCACGTCGTACGCCTGCGAAAATTGGTTTATAAATTGTTTCTGTATGTATTCACATACGTTTGTTTATATATTTAATTATTTAATAAAATGAGTATTGTAAATATATAGCAATACATATATGTTACAAATATATATTAATATTATGTATATATATGTATTATATATATACTTCAATAAGTATTGCTTTATACATATTTATGGATTTACTTAAGAAAATGATTTCTTAAATATATCTAAATATTACTGTATTTATATATGTATAATAATAACGTTTCCTAAATAAAGTAATATAAATATATATATTTTGTTTCACTTTGAAAAAATTCTTGTAATCAAAATACTTTAAATATTTCATATATAATAATTAAAGGAACAGAAAAGGCATTGGTACTATTAACTTTCAATATAAATGTATTTAAAATAAATTAATTTTTATTTATTTCAAATTTTGAGCAATTTACATATTGCTTAATAAACCATTTAATTTTTTTTTCAATTTACTAAAAATGTTATAAGCATCAATAAAATTATTGCACTGCCTAAAACTATGCAATAAATCTTGCGCAATTCAACTAATTTTTCGAATTAGAAACTTTAAACGACATCTGGGTAAATAGTGGTAGGGAGAGTAAAATCTGGAATTTATCAGTTATAATAAACTATATCAGAATCAAGATAAGTGCTTAAACTGGTTCGTAAATTTATTATAACAAACGAAATGCTTTTTGCTTTTATTGTTCTTAACTTATTTCTCTATACAATCGATTGACGTCTAATACAGACCAATTATTTGATCTGTATTGTACTGAATTATCTGATTCCATACGTTTAATAAAAATACCACCCTTCGTTATAATAACAACAAATATAGTTGTAACTTGGTTGGGAATCGTGAACGTTGTTTGGTGGTCGGGATAGATAATTACCTAGCTCCGGCTCTAACCACTTAATCACAAGATGTAAATAGGTATTAGTGGTATGAGAGTGGGATTATGTAGGAGCAAAAATGAATAGGGGGATGGGTGAAATATAAATTAAAATCAAACAGGAAGAACGCAAAGAAACCTAGTCACTTATATGGGCTTAAATGTTGAACAACTCTTAAATTTGTTGAACAAACTGCTAAATAAAGCAGATAATATTGTCGATTCAATTGTAGTAAAAAGCTTAACGAACTCAGGCATATATATGTATTGTATATAGAAATATTTAGATGTTATAGAAATATAACAATAAACAAGTTAAAAATTAAAGTCGAAGTATTTCATTAAATGATATTAAATTGAATTAAATTAAATATAATATTTTCATATTACTTCTAATATTTTATGCCAAATATAAGTATTTTATGTCATATATAAACGCATTTAAATTGTAATTAATTAATATTTGAATAGAAATATATAAAAGCTTTATTAAGATTTTAGTTTCACCTAATAATTACATTTCATATGATTTTTATTAGATTATTTAAATTGTATATTACGTTGAAAATTTCTGTGCCATTAACATGCTTTTATTTTTTAATACATCTAATATATATTACAGGCACTTCATTCGAAATCCACTCGAACTAATCTGAACATGATAACATGATAAGTTAAAATGTAATCTTTATTCTTCAACAGTTACTCGTTTAACGAGACCAATAATATTTATTGAGATAACATATAAAGCACAAATAGTAACAAAAACTAATATAAAGACAATAAATTAAACAAAAAGTACATGTTGTATATTAACTTTTTGATTTAATCGTCTATACGTGTGGTCATAACGTTCTCAATATCCTGCACAGTACGCGGCACAATGGCAAAGTTTTCACAGCCATCCTTGGTAATTAAAACATCATCTTCAATACGTACTCCACCAAAGTTACGAAAACGTTCAAACACTTCAACGTTAAGGAATTTATTAAGTTCAGGTTCAGCTAGAGCACGATCCATAAGCCAATCTATGAAATAACATCCAGGTTCGACAGTTAGATACATGCCAGCTTTAAGTATACGTGCAAAACGTAAACATTTTAACCACGGCTCCGTTGGACGTTTTGGTTGTCCTTCCAAATAACCACCCACATCATGTACATCGAGTCCTAATAAATGTCCCAGCCCATGTGGCTGAAATGTACCAGCCAAACCTGCAGCTAACATATCATCAACATTACCCTTGAGCATACCACCTTCTTTTAGTTTTTCCAACATTACACGATTAGCAAGTTTGTGCATGTCAACCCAGCAAACACCTTCACGTGCTTCATTAAGCACTGCATCACGTGCCGCTAACACAGCATTATAGATAAATTTTTGATCTTCAGTAAACTTACCATTTACTGGAAAACTGCAAGTTATATCTGCTGCAAAGCCACAATAATTTGCACCCATATCAAACAAGCACATATCGCCATCAACAGTACCACGATCATTGGGTGCAGCTGCATGGCCATAGTGTAGAATAGCGGAATTAACACCACTGCCACAAATACAAGTATATGAAGTGTGGCGACAACCACCTATAGCATAGCAATGATGCAGAAAAACAGACTCACCTTCGTACTCGCTTTTTCCTGGTCGCATGAATCGCATTACATTAATGTGTGCATTTGAAGAGACTCTAGCAACATAACGCAAAACTTCAATTTCTTCAGCTGACTTGATAACACGGCATTCAGCGATTATTGGATGTAACAAGTCTTTATTTGTTTTAAATTTATCAATTCCAGGAAAGTGTGCAGGTTTTGAAGTTAAACCACTATCAGAATTTGTGCCGCTTAACGTTAATATGAGAGAAGGTGCTGCTTTCTCAAAGAAACTAGACAATTCATCCACATAAAACACTTCCTCTGTCTCATACATAGCTTTGAATTCATCTAGTGTCAGCAAACGACCCATCCATGTTGCATATTCCTCCGCTAGGCGCGGTACAAATAATGTTGCTTTACCACTTGCCACATGTAAAACCCCATAACAGTCTGGTTCCTTCACGCCAAATAAATATTGAAAATAAGATCTAAAAAATAAAAATTAAAAAATAGTACATTTTCTATTTATAAAAGAAAAGACTTACTCCTGACGAAATAGATAATTAACATCTGTATCGTTAAAACTAACTTCTCTTCCACCTTCCAAGAGTACATAACTTGTGTTGGCAGTTATATTGGAATGTTCACGTAGAGCCGCAGCAAGCTTTTGACGGTTATTACGAAATAGTGACATAGGCACACTATGTGCCTTTAAACCCATACGAAAGCTAGCCATAGTGTTTTTTTTTTTGTATAAATTAATCAATTCAATAAAATCAAATGAAACTTGTTTTCTGTTTATTTATGCGCTTGAGAATTTTTAGCGAATAATGAACTTTGCTGGTTTTTAATCGCAACCCAGTTTCGTATTTTATCTCTTTGTTAATTTTATCGCTTATATTGGTCTGTGGCTTTCTGCGAGCTGCACTTGTTCTCCAATCAACGTTAACAATTGAATAAAAATTATATTTTTATTTTTGTGCCGTGCAAAAACACAAACCACAACAAACTTTTTCTTTTTGTTATCATATCAAAACACAGGTAGTGTTGCCAACGCAGAAAAAGTTTGCGAAAATAAATTTAAAAGGTTTGTAAATATATATAATCATGTTTTTCTATATATAAGCATATGTATAGATGATTGTAGTATATATGATAAAAACATATGTTTTTAAAGATCATGAAAACTAATTTATCTGTAATTTTAATATTAAAATTAAAAGTGTAAACCATGTAACAACTGAAAAAACTGATTTGACAACTGAAGACAAATAACTAGTAAAATGTTGGGTGCAAAAAAACAACAATATAATTTTATTGTTTGTTAATGGATATATCAGTTATTATTAATTATTAAAATCAATATTAAAAAGGCTTTATCATTCTTAGAATGTGAACTTATTAATTCACTTCTGAGTATTATGTATACAGAAATTAATACAGTAACAAAAATAATCTGTCATGTCCGTTCTTGAAAAATTAATTTAAATGTTTTTACTTCGGTGTAAATAAAAAAATTATCAAAATTAAATGTGTTGATAAATGCTACTGCAGTATAGCAGTTATATACAAATAGTATAAAATTTAATGTTTCATTTTTGCAATGTAAAATTTTAGAATATGATATAAAAAATTAAGTTGTATTCTTGTCATTTTTGGTTTTACTCAAATTGTTTTAAATTATTTGCAGCAGAGGTAATATTCTTACGCATTATAGTAAAGAAGTTTTTGTTTACTTAGAGTAAAAGTTTCACATCACTTTTGTTTTCACTGCAGTCGGTTATGCATATGTCAGTGCAAAACAGCTGATTTTTCTACACATTTTTTCGCAGGTTGTGTGGTGCCGCTTTGTATTCATTCGACTAGTTTTTAAATCGAATTTGATTAAATAAAAATTCTAAATTACTATGAATAATTTATACAAATTATTGCGAAAACCTTTAAGTAATGCATTACAACAACATCAATATTTGACAAAACGTTTTTATGGTATGTTGAAGTTTATTAAGTGTATATATGTTGTAAGTTTTGCATAATATTTTTTTAGCCAATCCACCAAAGCGGTTCTACAAAAATACATCGGTGCTGTACAATGACGGTAAATACGAAGTGACATTGGATCAACGTAAACTAAAAACACCGAGTGGTAATATTTTCACAGTGAAAAGTGAACCACTTGCAATTGCCGTTGCTACTGAATTCGATAGCCAGAAAGAATATGTCGAGCGCTCAAAAATGCATTTGAGCGCTTTATGCTTCACAGCATTGGACAATCCAAACAAGCTAACGAAAGTGGACATGGTGAACTATATATTAAATTTTATAGCAACGGATACTATATTATATCAAAATGATGTAAGTGGATTTAAATCATATAACTTATTCTAGTTTAATTGTTTTGTATTACCCAAGAGTACATAACTTGTGTTGGCAGTTATATTAGAATGTTGACGTAGAGCCGTAACATACTCTTAGAAATATACAGTTACAGTTATTAGAAATATTGATATAGATACATTATTTGACTTTAAATCCATAAGAAAGCTGTCGATAGCTTTGTTGAATCTTGTAACTTATTCTAGTTTAATGTTATATGGACCGGCATATTTTTAAGCCAGTAATTGGTATATTTAATTTTATAGTTTCACTAAATTATTTATATTATTATTGCATAATATTAAATGCGCACAAGTTAATCGTGAAAGCTAAATAGAATAGTTCTTCTAAAAAGTTAGTAAACTACATAAATGAACAATCCTCACTCCTTTTATATCCATTCACGTTATCTACTGTACAGATATCCACGCGTCATCACAACAACAACGATCAACATTAAAGTGATTCCATCCATCCCCAATCCACCGCTCTCCTTTATTTCCCCCCTATCCTCATCTGTTTATATCCTAACCCCTGTATTCGTCTTGTAAATACTTTCATATCTGCTTTATTTATCCAAACGGGTTACCACAAAATACGTTAAAGCAAAATAAAGTGAATGATGTACATTAACTTTAATTGCATGAAAAGTACATTTAATATATATTGTACATCATAATATAAATTAAAAATATTTTAGACTATAATACATTCTTCTACTTACTTTTAGAATGAAAAGGATTTACATGACTTGCAGAGTAACGAGTGGGATCCAATTCTTAAATGGTTCAATGAACGCTACGAAACAAATCTACAAAAGACACTAAATATAACTCCACCGCTGATCACTGCAGAAGATAAAATGAAAATATCAAAATATTTAGCATCACATAATTTGGAAACTCTTCATGGTAAGCTATATAGCTTATCTAAAATGAAATCTTTATAACAATTATACTGTCCTTACTAGGCTTTGTTTTTGCTGTGGACACATTAAAATCAATTGTGCTTGCCTGCGCTGCTATAGAGCAAAAAATATTCGTTGAAAAAGCAGTGGCGCTGTCACGACTTGAAGAAGAATATCAATTGAAATTCTGGGGACGTGTGGAGTGGGCTCATGATCTAAGTCAACAAGATCTGCAAGCACGTTTAGCGGCAGCAGTTCTTTTCGTACACTTAAATCGTTCAGAACATTTTGTTAAGTCAAAAGTTGTAGTTTAGTATTCCATGAATACGATATTTTAATAGAATATACATTTTTAAAATATGCTTTAATTGTTAGTTGTTAATTAAAAAAATTCTCCTTGTACAAATCCTAAAAGATAAATAAGAATGTGTAACATATATATGCCTCATACATTTAAAAAAAGATGTATAAACGAAAACTAAAAAACGTTTTAAAAAAAATAACAAATAATATTTAAAAACTTTAAACAAATAAAATAATAAATTATTTATACATTATTTCTTGTCTCAAATTTTTGGAAAATGTGTATGTGGTTTGGGTGTTAAATGAAACTACTCTGTAGATGACTAAACCTTGTTACTTCGATTGGAATGTTTGATAAATGAAATCAGCTGGTTATTTCCAAGAAGTATAAATAGCTGCTGTCAAAACAGCCTCCTTTTAAAAAGGAACCCATTTCCACTTTAAAGATAGACAATCAATTGGAAGCATATTGAAATCAATTGGAACCATATATACCATTCTATTCTACTTCACGTCACCCATAGGCTTTAATGCTCCACTGCACACACAAATTTTGAGGACCTATTGAATATGTCTCCATACAATTAAGGTGGTAAAATTCCATGCCCATGGACCCAGGTAGTTTCAACTTATTGTTACTCAGGTTGGCTACTACTTTAATCAGCTTGTCTATTTTCATTGGAAGGGTGTTTTATATAGTAGGTCCTAAGCCTAACGGATAATCATAAACGTGTGGAAGGAGGACACATTTTCCTTATTGACTAAGATACAGATAAAACGATGAACAAGTCGGGTTCCAAGAACGACCGAGTTTACATCCTGAAGCCACTTGTCGCTAACGACGACCAAGTGCCGTTCGACATCTTCCAAAGGAAGTTCACAAGCAGGTTCTAGCGGGTTACAATAACAACAACAAGTCGGAAGCGCTCTATATATGTTACTTTTTTTCTTATAACGATTTTATTGAAACAATTGATTTTTTCTTTAATAACACAACACAATTTAGTTTTTACTAATTTAATAAATAAAATTTATTTATGTGAGTTTGTATAAAAATCATAAAGTTGTAAACTTATCAATAAATAAGATGACTTAAGTTAATAATTGTGCACATATAAAAATTGAGATATCAACAAAAATGAACAACTATAAACTAATTCCGAATTTAAGCTATTAACAATAAAGTATTTCGTCAGAATAGAGACGATTTTTATTTTTGATTTAACGGTTCAGTACCGAAGGAAAACTGAATGAGTATAAAATTTATTTAAGTTAAAATAAAATGAAAAAACAACAAAAATCGTTAGTCAACAATATTTGCAATAAATAATCTCATAAATTAAGAAAAAAAAATACATAATTAGTAATATAAACGCTTAGTTAATAACAGAAAATTATTTTTAAAGTACTTTGTACTTACGAAAAAAAGCATTTGCAAAATCAAAACCAAAAATGCACTTAAAAGCGATCTCAAAATGCATTGAGGCATTGCAAAATGAAGTCGAATTGCATGTACTACTGGCTGCATGTGCATTTGGAATGTGTTTAGGCATTTACTGGCTTTGACGACTATTTAAATTACACTACATTTTTTACTCCTACACATACGTTACACTTTGTTTAGACAAACTAAATGAACACAAAAGACAAGTGTTTGCTAGCACTTGGACCAAACTATATTACTAAACCAGATTTTTTGTAAAAAAAATTTAAATAGTTTTCAATTGTAATTCAATTGTTACCTTATCTGAATTCAGTAATGATTATTAGCACCGTAAAACACTTTTTATCCATTCAGACATTTCAATTTCGATGACATTATCTTGATTGTGATCTTTGCGTTGAAAGAAATCGAATGCCGCCGTTAGATGCAGTACCGCCAGTGCAAAATCACTCAAACGCAAAGTGCCGTCTTTTCGTATGAACCGATGCATCAGACAGTTCATAATATCAGTGCTTAACTGAAATCCTACATCGTATAGAGCATCACGTAGACGTTCAGCACGCAAAATGCCAGCCTTCTCCTTGGTATAAATCTTAAACACACCTTGCCACGATTTTAAATTCACCATAAACGTCTTGAATTGCAAGAAATTAATACGTCCACTGCCAGTTTTGTCTTGCAGTGCTATAACCTGTCGACATATGTCCAAATTTGCGCAACCTTTAATATAATCATTCGGTAGACATGCTTCCAGCAGTTCATGTAATTCAAAGCAATTTATCGTCTTATTTTCATCTGCCAGTTGCATGAAGACAGGTTCGTATTGACAGACATTTTTGATCTTTGTTGTATCTGCTTCATTTTTAAGCGCTGGAAATGGATCAAGTAGCATTAAGGTTTGCGTCTCTAGCAGTGATAGACGCAGTGGCGCAATACCCAAAATACGTATTGTGAAAGCTGACTCTTCACCTGGTTCATACGTAGTTGGCATTAATACATATTGTCCCACTTCCAGTTGACACCGATAACTTACATGACGTGTATTGCCATAGTCCGAATTTAGAAAACTAACCTGTGTTTTAAAAAATTCTTTAGGTAAGCACTCGCTGAATTTATTTTTACTGCCGGTTAGTGGACTTAATTTGTACATAGTAAATCCAATTACTTTGGGTTCAACAGCTGTGTGCTGGTTAAGTGCTAATACAACATCCTGCTTTTCCTGTATACTCAATAGTAATTGTGGATTGATATGAAATGATTCATGATTACGACAACCGCCAGCCGTTACACCACGTTTCCAATGTCCTTGAAACATTTTCATTTGCCAACGCTTTGGACGATCTTGTAAAGTTATTTCATCTTTAGCAGTATCTGCATCTAAATATATGCATTCAAGACTTGAAAAAGTTTGTGTAAATTCCAAGAATGACATCCAGAATTCTCCAACATCTAACTGACCAAATAGGCGATCACGTTCTTGTACAGAAACACGTTCCCAGGCTTGAGACATTGCTGACCAATCGCCTTCAAAACCAGCACTATTATCAAAAGCATTACAAGATAGTGGATCTTTAAGTCGCACCAACTGCACAGCATCACCAAGTAAGGTTTCAACTTTGTCCAGTGAACACATTCTTAGAAAAAAGAAATAAATAAATAAAATTTAATAATTTTAAAATATACAAATATATTAGTATAAAATGAAGTATTGAAATATCTTACAAGAGTCTCATACTTCATATAGAAAATATGTACATTAGAAAAATGTGATTTATTTTACTTATTTACTAAAATATTAGCTTAAGACACAAAATATCTTTCCATTACAAAGTCAATTTATTCACTGATAGATAACTTTACTTTTCAACTAAATACAATCTTAAAAAGCAATTAGAAATTTAACCCCTACACTTTACTCGTGCATGCAGTCAATGCTTAACTTATCACAAAAGTATACATATCTTCAAATAAAAAACAATCAAACTGCCAGCAACAGCATTAAATGTAAAGGAAAACTTAAAATAATTCTCATTAGCTGCACTAAAAATAAAATAATTTCATGAAAAGTTACTGTATAATACTTCTATAAAATGTAGCATTGAAAATATTTATATAGAAGTTTTTTACTGCAATTTTTCAAGAAATTATTTCATTTTTAGTGCAGCTAGCAAGCACTTTAAAGATCTTTCTTTTAAATATCTTTAAAGTATTTGTACATTTTGGACGTGATACAGGACTGATGAAGATAAGAAATAAATTTGTTATGAAAGCATTGGTTTACCAAACACTAACGCTAAGAGAGAAAAAGATACGTCTTGTCCTACTTTTTAGAAAATATTGCATATAAAGTATCCACATGTATTTTGTAATTAAATCGACATATAAAACTATCATATATTTGATATATATATATAAAACTTTACTGCTAAACTTCATGCCAACGTGGGTTAAGTTTGGTTATATGCTGATCGTAGGGATTTATTTTTTTTTTTTTGTAATCTGGATATAGCGATACGCTAAGCAATTAATCTTCACAAAAAAATATGTTTTATGATATGAGTACCTAGCATGTTTAACTGGATGTTGATGAAACAAATTTAATACACTTAACCCTTCACACAGATGCAGTATCCCCTTCGAGGCCAAGTTTGTCAGACAACAAGGTTCTCAACAGGTCTTCGTCTAATATCTCCCTGCAAGAACAACGTCTCCCCCATGCACCAAGAACTGTCCTAGCTCAATTGAGGTCAGTATATAGCCAAGTGTTAAACAGTTACTTGTCACGCATAAACACGCTCATTTCTAATGTGTGCACAAACTGCAGCTCTACTCCCGTTGACGTCGGCCATCTATTCTTCTGTCCTTCAACGCACATATACCTCCGTTCAATTGATCTTTGGACCCATCCCATCGAAGAAGCTAGGTTTCTCCGTCTGGACCCGGGTTAAGGTTCAATAAAATCCCACCCAACTAATGCACCCCTTAACCTCATTCCCCCCTCCAACATTGAAGTCGTCTTATATATTCTTTCATATTATCGTCTTACAGGTCCCAGCGGGTTACAAGAACAACAACATGTAAAACACTTCCCTCATCATCCCTATATTTGTGATAAGAGTAAATAAATAGAAAAATAATGTCAATATCTTATTTTTCGACATTTTAAGTAACGGATTAAAAAACTTATTTGTTGTCTTTATTTCCAAGCCTAGGAGGGCATAAAAAATTATGTCACAATTTCATAAAATGTTACGGAGTGAGTATAAATTTATTTGAATTTTTTTATTAATTTATTTAATTGGCTCATTGAATATAAAATCTATTGCAAAAATCATGAAATCAGACATTAGAGAATATGCTTCCGTTTTTTATTTATGTCCGTAAAAAATTTTTATGGTTCTTAAAAATTAAGAATAATTATTCATAATGTGACCTTTTTAAATTGACTCTATTTTAGCTTCATACCGTAATTTTATTTATTGATTTCATTATTTATCAATTTTATTCTTCATGTGAATTGAATAGTGAATTATGAATTCAAGTCACGTGGACAACGCTAGTTCTTCTGTTGAAATCATACTAATTTATTTGGTATTAATTTAATTAAAATTCTGCTTGAAATGAAATCGCCTACATAAGTTTTTCTTTATCAGATTTTAATATTGTCGCATTCGCATTCAAATTTTTTATAAATTAAATTATTAAGGCTAACCTGTAATTGACATTGAGCGAGATTCCATTCGGTAATCTATCAGGTGTATTTTTATGCTGTGACGCTGTACCAGTTGCAGCAATGCAGGTAACAATGCATGTTGTGTCTAAGTGGGTCTTAATTTGCTGTGGTCGAAACATCTCATTAGCATTGTTCGATTTTAATGGTATACATTCAACGACACCACCCAAGAGATCGCTTAAACCATCGGAGCGTGTACCATATTTCAGTGCTTCATATGATCCATGCAGTTTAGCTATAGCTTTCTCCAGCAATGACGCCCAATAACAGTGTGATGTTTGTGGCTGCAGAAATGCTAATCTACCATTTATTGTTGGTAAGCGATCATCTACTAAAACCTCAACCCATTCGCCACACCACCACAATCTGAAGCGGAAAATACCGTGTGCTTTATCTAAGCTCTGATCCGCTGGTACGACACGATAAAATAAATTTCGTAATGAATGTAGAACCCCTAAGCACGAAACAAGCCAACGATCACCCATTTTTCCTGGTATAACATCAAAATTTTCACCCTCGTTTACGAAACATGCTTGCGCTTCTGCAAATTCTGAAATTCTTCTCCATTGAAATGTGAACGGGGGCGTTTGATAATAGAAAACTGAGGATTGCACAGCTGCAAAATCTGGATCTTCCCACAAAGCACCTTTTGCTCTACATTCGCTTTTGATTCGCTCATATTTGGAGGTCATCGTAAATTTTTACGCTTTCGCTTTCCTCCTTATAGGGCGTACTAATTTCACACGTACCAAATAAATTTTAATGCGCATGCGCCTGCGCCACGTTTTATAAATACACGTATTTTGATCAAATATTTTTAAACAATTAAATTAAAAATATATTTTATTAAAGTCTCGCTAAACTTTAACAAAATTTCTACCACGAAAACTGACAAAGTGAAAGTTAACAAAAATAAAATAACACACAAGATGAGAAAATGAAATGAAAATAATAATACAACCGCCGCGCAGAAGTGATCGATGATAATAAGAAACTTGGCAGCACTCTTTCATTCGTAGAGTTGCAAAATACATACAATCGCAAATATTACAGTTAAATGCATTATGCCTTACTTTATTTATTTATATGAGAGTTAACATTAAAATTATTTTTAAGGTTAACTAAGAATGGAGAACTGGACTGATACGCCATACTTTATAATATAAGTAATATATCATAAAGCGGTTTTCCAAACAGTGGTGAAATACAACAACAAAAATTTACTTTTATATTAGTTTAATTTATTGAATTTTTGGCTGACCATACAGCTGTTTCAAGTATTGCCAAATACCCATCATCAGTAGTCTCGGAAATAATAATAATTGTAAATAATTTATTTAGACTGTAAGTATCTGGGATTGAAGTCGTGTGTTGCCAAGTTTGAAGCTCAGAGTCAGCGCTGATTAATCAACTGACACCAAGCCGAACTTACCTTTTTTTAACGTTTTTATTAACAAATTCACTTGCTGTGGTTATATTAGAACGAAATCATAAACCAGCTGTAAAATAATTGAATTAATTAATCATATTTTTATTTTTAATTGTTAAATTTATGTGTAGAACATAATCTAGAATAATATTACTTGTGAATATAAGATGTAATTTAAGTAATATATGTAAAATAATTAATTTTATTAAATAATTTTATAGATGTTATTATGTGAAAATGTTGTTGTGAACAAACATGAACCTTAATTAATAAAGAGAGATTATTTGGCTAGTAGTAAACTAAGACAGCAAATTATTTTTTTTTAATTAATTGAATTTTTAACTGACCAAACAATTGTATGACTAATACTAAATTCACAACATCAGTTCTATATTTGGTAAATATTTCTTATATCTAATTATTCGTAAACAATTTTTGAGACTGCTAGTACAAACAGTTAAACTTATACTTAGACCCAGTGTTAATTAGCCAATTGATTCAAAATTAATTAAATATTTTATTTGTATTGCATATGACGACGCTTATATGAATTTATTTTTTAATTAAAAATTATTTTTTTTATATGGCAAAAAAGCTATTTAAAATAGGAGGCAATAATAAAAAAAATTTCCAAATCCAAAAAATTTTTTTTAGTTTCAATCAATAATTTTTTAAGACAGCTGTATAGTTGTTTTAAAAATCATCAAATTACCCTTATTACTGAACATTTATTTATTATGCCTTACGTTCATAGAAAAAGCAAATATTTTTCTGTATATGTTTGAACAGAGGTAATGCATAAAATATAACTTCCAAATTAAGTGGATATATAATGCGAGCATAATTAATATATTTACACTATCGTTATAATCAATTATATCTTTCTAATCATGTCATGGAATATTTTCAGTGCAAAGCTCACATACAATCTTGTATCCTTGTAATAGTAAGCTTATGAAGAATCTAATAGCTTGTATAAAATCAATATTTGTTCAAGTATTTTGCCAGTGTTTGGGGTTGCTTGAAAGCTCATTAAACAGTTTGTTTAAGATCATTTTTCATTTTTATTGAGTCTTCTAAGCAATCCTACTATATTGATTAGATTCCAATAAGAAAGTAGTTCTTATAGAGCATAAGCTAGTTACGAGTTTAAAAATATTGTTCTTCCAATTTTTGTATTCTCGTCCCGCGGTAATTGTGTTTTCAGCAACATAAAAATTCTAAAATAATTTTATGCTATGTTCAGACAGCCAAATTTCCTTAGTTTCGGAAAAATGAAACTAAGTTAGTTTCGAAAGTGTTCATACTGCCCAAATTAAGGAAATCATATGTTTTTTGTTTACATATGGAATTTAATGTTGATATGCCGCTTGTAAAAAAAATTATAACTAGAAACTTTCGAAATGTAGAAGGGTTGTTGAAAATGCATTTGGACACTTAAAAGCACGATTTCGACGAATAGGAAAGGGTTTGGACAATAGAATTAATAATGCAAATATTATTGTGAGTGCTTGTTGTGTGTTGCACAGTTTTTTAAATGAAAACAACGACCACATTAATGCACAATGGTTAAAAGAGCTGAAAAATATTGATAAAAACCAACATCCTGATTATTATTATCTTCATTACATTAATTCCAAATACCTGAATTTTGAGGTCATGTTATTTATTTTCGTTTGCACTTCTTTGGGATTGAGCATAAACCCGAGTTGATTTAATGTATCGCTGATTTCTTTATGCACATGCCCGTTCTTGCGTGCACCACGAAAGCCTTCCATATTGCACTCCCAAACCTCCAAAAGTGCATTTTCTGCTGCTTGGGTCCAACCGTACCTTTTTTTATAACTTTTCTTCTCCATCGCCAATGCTTAACTGTTTAAATTTTATTCAAAATATTTTCCCGGTTTTATTAAAGTCAGCTGTTTTTAAAAATACATGTCACTTTTTCGTTATCTCAATTTTATCTTTTGCTTGAAATTTGTTTTTAACATAGTTGCATTTGAAAATTCCCTTAGTTTCATGCTTCGTTTCAGCGAAATTAAAGCTATTTTCCTTAGTTTCGTTTTGACATTGAAACTAAGTTTTGTATGGAAAAAACAACTTAGTTTCGCTGAAACGAAGATGAAACTAAGATTTTTGCGAAACTAAGGTGTGTCTGAACAGCATATTAGTTATTAAATTTTAATTATGCTAATAATAATTACATTGTTAAGAATTTTATTAAATTAATACAATTTATTAGTTATCAACTTAATGTTGTATGTTGGTTTTTTATAGTAATCAATTTTATATGTTGTTATATAATAATAAATAATTATGGAAATATTTTCCAAATATATATGTACTTATGGCGAGTGTGAGAGTTCGAGTAAATTGAGGTAAAGTAAATTGAAATTTCCTAGATATTTTTTGAACTGCTCTTATGTAAATATTTATTTATTGCATTTATTTATTATTTTTAGTTAAAAGTTTTCAAATTTATTTATTTATTTATTTATTAAACCTCTTATAAAATGCAATGGTAATATCTAATTTACCCTACTCGAAATTCTTTTAAATACCAACATTCGCTGCTATACCGACATAATTTACTATTTCCTTCAATTTACTCAAACTCGCACACAACCTATATGTACATTTCTTCAGGCATGTGGTCATAGCCTAATACATAAAATTCATTAGAACTGCGGTTTCATACTCAGTCTGTTTTTTTATTAGATATTTGTTGGCTTGCGATAATTTTGTTTTGCACTGACATTACATTTTGAGAATTCTTTGTTGTCAGCTGTAGTTTTAAAGTTAATCGTCGCATTTCGTTATTTTTACAAGTTTGGCGCATTTTTTTTCTTCGTGCTATATTATACATTTGAATAAAGTGCAACCGTTTATATAAACATAAGACTTAAAAATAGTTGGTAATTAAATTATAGCGCAGCCATACAGAAAATTAGGTGCAAGAAGTGGAAGCATTGCGGTCAAATTTAGTGTGGAAATACGAGCGAAAGCGTAAATAGGCATTTAATTGTGTATAGTTGAGTAATTTGTTGATTATTGCAACTGTAAAATAAAGATAATTTTCATTATATATATATATACAAGTGTCTATATATTTTAACAACGTGAGTCACAAAGAAAATGGCATTTTACAAAACGTTATCTTGTCTTTTTACTATAATATTGGCGACTACAGTTATTGCTGACATCGGCGATAACCTTAAACAATTAAATGTCAATGACATTCAAAACCAGCTTCCTTCGGAACTAGCTAATACAAATTTAACAATGGATGATGCGAAAACCCTTTTAAAGGATAAATGCATAGAGATAGCTGGTAAAGAAAAAGGTGATGAAGCATTTGAAGAAATAATGAACTCATTTGGCGTTTTAAGTGAGTGTTTAACCACCATTATTAACTATACTGCTATTCAAACAGAAATTGAAGAAGCTAGTCCACGTGGAGAATTGGATGTTGTTTTTAATAAATACTGCAAAAAACGGCCGCATGTGATAGAATGCGTTGAAGTGTTTAATAAGAAATTGGTGCCTTGTTTAGATGCAGAAGAGCAGGATAATCAGGAGACAGTTATGAGAATAGTACGCAGCTTGCTAAGTTTCGTATGTCATAAAGGTGGTGACCAAATAGCGCTTTTTATAGCTGAAAAGGGACCAGAATGCTTGGAATCAAAAAGGGATGATATACAACAGTGCCTTAATGATACATTCTCTGATTATGTGCCAAAGGAAGGTTTTCAGAATTTTAAATCTTTACCTAAATTGGTAATGAGCCAGAAACAGTGTAATGATATTGAAAAACTGGAAACATGCATCGTTGAAAGGTTGGAAACTTGTACTGAAATAACACCTGCAAACATTGTGGAGTCAATGTTTCGTTTCATCAAAAATGAAACAATATGTCGCAATACACCATCGGCACATAAACAAAACAGCACCAGTTCATCATCATTATTAGTTACACTTAGCGCAACTGGATTGGCATTCTCATTTGCTGTGATTCAATTGATATCGAAACGATTTTATGTGTAAATTTTAGTCGAAGTGCTTTCAATATTGTATTTGGCAGGGCTTATATACTCTTTGATATTTACTCCTTTGTATATGATATTATATGTAATTAGCTACACTTATTTAGTGTTACACGGGTATTTTTATAGAGAATCATACATATTTAGTTTAAGTACTTAGATCTTATAATTATGCTTATGAAATTATCAAATTTTCTTTAAAATTATATATTATATGTATTGCTGTGGTAGATCGAATAATTTTTATATGATTCAACTTTAGCTTGAGAATAATGAAATGTTTAATAACAGTATTCAAATGAATCTTCAAAATTTCGAATAATTATAAAAGTGTATGTGCTTGTGCTTTTGAAATTAATGTATAATTTTTATATATTCAAATATATATATAAATGTCTTACTGTGCTAAAACGCAAGCTTAGCAAACAGCAATAAGAACAATTTACTTTATGGATCAAGTCAAAGTGATCTTGTACATTAATTTATAAAAATAAGAATGTATTTTTATTCATATACATATATTCAAATTGTTAGTTGTATTGTTTTGTATTTGAGATAGCGGTTATTTGATAAAATTTAAATAAATACATAACGTATGTAACTGCCTCTATGTATTATTTCTAATTTTACAAAAGTACAATTTCGACGAAATAATTTTTAAATGTTGCATTTTTTAAAATAATCATTTAATTAGTTATTTAATTTACAACTGATTGTTTAGACTTTGACCTTTTTCATGTCGCAGTTAGTTGACTTCAATTTTTAATTAATCATTTTCCGGGGCTATCAAACGTGTTTTGTTCTTATTTTTTTATATTTTTATTTTTTGTGTTGTTTACAAATTTCATTTATTATAGGGTTCGCATTTCATGACATAGAGTAACTGCAACGAAGTCAATTTTTAAAATCTAAATATTTGTTTGTCTGTTCTTTGAGGATTATTGTGACAAACCCACTGTAGTTCCATTATGTGACAAACCCACTTTAGCAATTAAAAATGCCAATATAAGTTAAGTGTTCGGTTGATAAATACCGAAGTGAGAGTCTGGCGAGACTCTCACAGAGACACATACTCTGTTCTACTGTTTCCTCTTCTTCGTGACAGAGTGCAGCTGCTATCGTCGCTTGTAATACCAAGATTCAATAGATGCTTTTTTTTACTCCGCAATGTACATTAGTAGCTAGCTAGTTCTGGATTTTGTTCGATTTGGCATGATTTCTTTAGTTTGTCTGGAGGTAATTACATTAACCCAATCAGTCTGAACTGTTTTAACAAAAAAAATAACTGGGTGTGTACTATGATTACTTAGAAAAATGATGGATTACTTTTATCTGGCATTTTTCGGACCATATGAGGCCTCCAGTGTTATTGAATTGAATGAAATATTGTTAGTTGTAGAAGTTAGCTTAGAAGATTCTCTTAGAACACTAGAGTTGTTCACAACTGTTGTTCTTATAATAATAATATAGCTTGTACTCAACGTCAGTAGAAGATCTTAATCAAGCGTATTAGTATGTCTTATGGAATTGGAGCCATACAGATTTTTTATATTGTAGAAAACTAATCAATCTTAACACTATAGAAAATTAATATTTTTTTTCAACATTTATAAACTTAATTGTAAATTCTTCACTTTATGAAAAAGTATTATGATATGCGCTTAAGTTACATATGGCAGTATTACGTTAAGTTAATTTGGCTGGCCGTAAGTTACACATTCACAGATATTTTGGTCTCTAATTATAGCAGTTAGAGTTAAATTTCTATATATATTTGTAGTACGCATCATATACGATGTCAACATTTTTAGCGAATTAATAAGTGCTTGAAGCTCAAGTTCTAAGATCAAGCTACATAAAGAACGTTTGTAAACCATATCTTAATTGGATTTAAATTCAGACCTATAGTGTTGTACTTCGTACCGCCTCTAACTGATTGATTATCAAAATCTGTTGAGGAGCAATTATAGATGTTAGCGTGTTGTTGTGGCCCGGAGAGATCTCAATAGCAGGACATATGGAAGAAATTATGAACAACGAATACATTGGATAGGAAATATATTGGGTATAGGATGGGTGAGAAGAAGAGGAATTATTTGAGATAAGAAAACGATAAGACGTGGGTTTATTAGAGTGTTGGATGTAGAGGGTAACAGTGTGTGTCTTCATAAGGAAATATATGCGGTATACCCTCAACACCTGTTGGAGAGGAAACCTTCAATACTTATACTTAATACAATACAATACTTAACACGGCAAGTTTGAAGGCTCCGCTGGCAATCACAGCACCGAACCTGGGTGCAGTACACTAATCACCCACTTACCTGAAACTATCTGATTACTGCCGAAAACTTTGCTCCTTGTAGGATCTATGGAAACTAATATATATTAGAGTGTATCATGGGACTTTGAAATATGTCTTGTTCTTGTATGATTTGTGCTGTTGCTTGCTTAGCTATCAATTGATTCTGCTGCTAGTTACTTCTCTGCTGGTTCAGGATAGGAATTTCAGAGTTTGTGGGTACGCATCTCTTTGTATTCTGCAATTGCCTTGTTTGATGGTACTCGATTTCTATGCGTCCAATGAACACTTTTCGTACATGATATCGGCACACTTTATCCTGTTCTGTAAAAAATCCTATTACAACCGATCTATTCAGTATGGTGCACAATTTTAAATAAATTATCAAATTTTTTCGTTTCAATGTCTATAAACAATCTGATCTAACATAATATGTTGCGTTACCCTAAAATTGTACGTACTTAGTAACGTACTTTGGAAGTGCTGCTATAATAAGTTATTACAATAATTTTGAAGGCAGTTAGTAAAGATTTCATATTTTAAATTTAGTTATTTGTAATATACTTTATAATGGATTTTTACTAAACGTACGCTTTATTACAGAGTATAAAAACAAGTTTATGTCTACATACATATGTGCGTAATTACTTACACTAGGAACTAGTTTTACATTAAACTCAAGATAATAAAAATTTTTATGTACGTTTGTATATTAATTCCCATAACAATTGTTTAGCGTTTAAATACTCTATTATTTACTAAGATAACAATTTTAGTATTAAAAATTATATATACATACGTATTCGTACAATGTATAGTATTAAGTAAATATGTAGCTGAAAAGCGCACTTGCCTCTTTCATTGCCGAAACGAATTTGCTAATAAAAATTAAAACATCGACTAAAGCTTAATAAATAATTATAATATTTAAATAACATAAAAATCTATTAATGTTAATGCTGCAAAGTACCTAATTAATATATTGTTTTTTGTAATATCTTTAAGTAGGTGGTTCCTTGTGGTCCTCGACTTTGGAAACTTATGTACAGATTAAATATGACAGTACACGATAGCAGTGCGATCTATAATTAAATGATGAACCATAGTTGAACCAACTACTTAATATCAAAAATTGTGATTGTTGGATATAGTATGCATTCTTGAGTTGTGTCGACTTATAGGGCAGTATCAGGTAATGACAGTAATGACAGCTCTTAGTATTAATATTTCATCTTTTAACATGGAAGATTTCATTTTGGCAGGATGATCCTCGTGTGGGAACATATTATACCTGGTTTCGTCGGTTCATCTATTTCGTTTAAAGTATTTTCCAAATTGTTGTTTTTTTGGAAAAGCTTGAAAGTTAATTCCTTTCTTTGTTAACTCGTCTACAATACAGGTTTATATCTCTATATCCTAAAAGTCAAATTGTTAGTATGTTGAAATGCTGAGATATCTCATTAAGAGGTTTGCTCCATTTAACAACTAACTTTGTACTTGAAGATTATATGAACTAACAACCAATTTGTATCTTAATATATATATATATATATAGTTACAATATTTAATATTACTATGTATATTTATAGAATTATGTTTTACTAAAATAGATGTTATTCATATAAATTAATTCAGCGCGCTTTTACAGATTGCACTAACAGAAATGTTAACATTGAATGTACCCAGATTTCTCCCTATGGACTAGATTTCCATTTCTAGTAGCTGGTGTTGATTAGTAGAGTGTTTTATAAAGGGGAATTTTAAGTTTTTCCCTAAAGTTCTTAATACCATATTTTAATTATATTAGTTTGTCTCCTAGTTTATTCTATCTATGTCAAAATAGGGCTCATCGATTTGATGGATTACTGATTTCATATTTTTTGTTAGGTTTACACAGTATTGTAAACACTTATACTATTATTGTTAAAAATTAAAACTATTATTTTAGAAATCTTAAGAAATAATATTTAAATCTAAAACTCTACATAATAACTATCAAGAGTCGTTTGCTCTAAATTCAAGATTTGAAGATTTTATATTGAATTGCCACAAAAAATATTTAAAGATAAAATACGGCTATAATATTTTCAAGCTGGCATTGACTGGTAATGAGTTTTCGAATTAGGTGGTCAGGCGAGTGACACTATTTCAACTTATCTGGTAATCCCATTTTAAATAGGATTTAACTTGAGTCTCTGTCGAGTTAGTGCACCTGGCCACTTTTACTCTTTGATGGCTAGGGGGTTTCTGCAAAATCTCACTCTTCTCATTGACTAATTTATTTAGTCTTCAAAAGCTTCGTGATTATTCGATGACTGATCTAAGACCTGAGTATCGTCCCGTGCGGCTAGAGATTATTCTGAGATTATATAGTGCTAAAAAGGGTAGCCTGTCGGTTTTCGTGAATAGCTTCAGGGCTCTGTCCCTTATGTATTTTTTGACCGGGTCTATTCTAAAGTCTTTTAGCATGTCATTTGTGCGGATGTACCAAGTCACTTTGAAGAGTAAGGTCAACTATTTTAAGTAATTTTTTTTACTAGACTATAAACTAATATAACAAGATATTGAAATTTAAAATTGTATATTTTTGTATGGAACCAATAACAATTAGATGTAAATCTCTTATTTACATTTCCTTATTATTACCCGCTGTTTGTATAATCAATATATAAATTGTATATACTAGTTGATAATAGATGTCATATGTAGTTTTTTGTTAGTAATAAGTAAGTTAGTAAAAAGCCTACAAATTTAAACCTCGATATCTAGAGAAGCAAGCTATATACGCGTACATGTAGCGAATGAAAAAGGTTGCCTAAAATAGCTAACTGTACATAAATTCGTTGTTAAATTGGTTTGCAGGATAAATCGCAAACGTGTCAAGCGAGTTATTTCGATATATTATAATAAGCGAAACGTATAATTTTGTTTTTGTTCTTCCTAAGTGCATTTTATAGACAAATTAGTTAGGTCTAACATAAATACGAATCAATAAGGTCCAACATAAACTAATTAGGTCTATTGAATTACAGTTTTATATTTTAATTGTAATAAACCTAGTATTGTGATCACATTTATATTACCTGCGTATATCATGATTCGAATCATAGTTTCATTTTTTATAATGAATAGAACTTTTTATAATAAAGGCTTTAACTTAAAGGAGTTTTAATTGATAAAAAAAACCGAAGTATAAAAAAAATTAAAGCTTGTAGATTAGTTATAATTTTTGTTTTTACTATAATATAGTAGTGTATATAACTATCGTGAACGTTTCGAAGTTTGTTTGATTTCTTCTTTAGGGCGAAGTATTATTATATATTGAATTATAATAATACTCCACACTGAGGAAGAGATTAAACAAAATTCAAAACGTCGGCTATAGTTATTTGGTTGGTAACCAAATAATAAAAAAAAAAATTAAAAACTAAGCTATAAGCTTTAATTTTTTCACTTCTGCCTTTTCATCATTTAAAAATGATTAGTTTTAATTCGATTTCATTTACTTATTTTAAACTTAATATAAAACATTATAAAAATGGATCTTTAATTTTATAATAAAACTACAAATGCTTTTAAATAAAAATAAGTTTCCACGTTCTCTTACAAATTTTATAAGTCGAATTGTTTATTATATATTATTTTATCTTATTAAAAACATTTCAGCAATTATATTTAAATACATATCAGTAATAATTCTAAGTTTTTTTTATTTATAACAAACCAATCTATAAGTTTTAGGTTTGTTTTGACATCCAATGTGGAATAATAAAATAAAATAAAAATAAAATCTGAATAATATTACTCTTAAATTATACCCCAATATAAGAAAATATCATTCATATTGGATCACGTATAAAAAATCACTTAAATACTAATTTAAGTTTAAATTAAGTTAATTATGAGAAAGAATTAACTTCACACATTAATATGTATACAAAAATAAATTGTATATATGTAAGTATTCACAGGAAAGTATACACTTCATTTGTAGAGGTCAGTTATGTTCCAATTGTAATTATTTTAATGGCACCCGCAACTTTTCACTATCATATTTTTGTATTTTTTCAAATTAACATTTTCTTCATTGAGATGGTAAAGTACCGGAAGTGCACCTAGGCGAGTAGGAGCACAGCATGGCTTCGGTACTTTTTTCGGTTCCATAAGATGCACTAGAGTTTGTACAATAGCATGATTTGTAGCATTCATATGTGCATTCAAAGGAAAATTGCATTCACCGGCACAGTAAAAGGCACCATAACCCTCAGGTGCTATAATCCAGTCCTGTTAAAATATAGGAATAAAAATATTTGAAAAATGAATTTTATGGATATGAATATTATATAGCTTACATGCCAGCCTAAATCTTTGAAATCAATATATAATGTCTGAATTTGACAGCTTCGCATACTCTCCACCGGTCCTTCAAATAGTGGATTAACCATTTCTGATTTTTTTCTTCTGCGTACGTGTTGTGTGTTACGTTTCTTACGGCTATGTGTTTTTGCTGTTTTGATAAGCTATAAAAAATTTAACATAAATAATATATATAAATAAAAGCATGATTTTTATATGCTCACCTCAGGACCTCTGAAAAATCCAATCATAAATGGCTGATATTCATCATCACTTGTACCTTTTGGATGTACTAAACCAATATCATCAAGTTTTACTTCTCGTTCAGGCTTATGCACTGCATGAGCGCCAATATAAAGACCTTTGTTTTCTTCTTGATTTTTGAGCCATAGTGCTAGACCTTCTGTTACATTCAATTCTAGCCAACCTTGATAATCAGAAGTTGTATTTACCGATGATAATATTTCTAGTTCTCTTTGGCCATCCATATTTACAATGGAATAAACACTTATTGTAAACTCTTTGTTACTAGTCATCCATTTGCCATGTGCTGGATTTTGATAAATTCGCAGCTCGGCCATCATTAAGTAATTATTATCAGGCACATTTTCATCGGAAACATCAAACCAAAGCCGTCGTCCATGCTCATGCCGTACTTCGTCTACATGGTGGTCTAGATGGAATGCAAAAAAACAAAAACAGAGAAAAAAAAACAAAACATGAGTAACTAAAATCATCGTAGGTAGGTAGAAGATTTTAAGCTAAGCTTTGATTGCGCTTGAAAACACAAGCAACAGCAAAGGAGGAACTTTGTGAAAATAACAAGTCATAAGTTCGTGATTACCCAGCAGTAAAAATTTGGACCATTATTTAAATGTGTTAAAAGGTACAAAAATATTTAAAAAGTATTCCGTCCAACATTGAAACGGCCGTTTTAAATTATTTATTGTTTATTTTCTTTTTCCTAACAGTGTTTAAATTTTTTTAACACCTCCAAATAGTGCGCAGTAGAGAAACTCCGTTTCATATACAATCACAGACAAAGTGTCAAAAGATTTGTTTATAATTCACTATACCAAAGGGATTATTACAACACAGATCTAAGTTAAGAAACCCTAAGTTAAGAATTTTAAACGTTATAACTTCAAGTAAATGTCATTTCAGTCTTAAATCAACAATAAAATTGGGATAAAATCCCAAAACTAAAAGTTAAAGTATTAGAAATGACTTCTGTTCCACAGATAATGTATAAAGTGCAGCCTTAAGTTTAAGTAATATTTACTATAAGTGGTGTAGCTAAGCGCAAGTCCCTTGGTTAGGTTAGGTTAGGGGATCCACTTAGGCCTATTGGTGTTGCCGTATATAGAGGAAAACGCAGAGTTTAAAACCACCTAGAACTTTTGGCGAAGCTTAAAATGCTAGGTCTTGTAATTGATCAACATTCTCAAGAAAGGAGGCTCCTCAAGTGTCGAGTCGCCATCGTGCATGAGCTGGACAAAGGGAGAGTAGAGTAGTAGTAGGCACTCTCATCGTCTTCCGCACAGCTGCGGTAGATATGATTGAAAGGAAGATTCAATCTTTTAGCATGGTTGCCTAGTTTGCAGTAACCTGTGAGAAAACCTACCATAAGACTGATATCTCTACGGGGCATCTAAATGAGAATATTAGATTTCCTTTTAGTAGAAAGTGGCCAGATTGCATACAGATGCCTGCATATCATTGAGTCTTCCTATCTTTTATTAAAAATTTCAGCACAGAAAGCCCCCTAATTTAATCTATATTAACATTAATCGACTAAATTTTAATTTAGGATTTTGATGTAATTCCTTGAAAACTGTAGAGTGAATTTCTCTGCCATTGAGCGTTTAAGCAAAAAAAAAAGAATGTGAACTATTGATACGTTAGGACCTCTTATTTTTAAAAGCAAGTTATGGTATACAAATATGATAAATTATCCTATATATTTATAGAGATGTTTGGAATTTACTATATATTTACTAATTTTTTGCTTATAAAAAATCAAAACAAACCAAAGGGTATAGATATAAAAAGTATCTACATTAGTATTATTTGAAAAACTCAAATAACCCTAATAAAATCCAATAAATATAAACACAAATTTTTTTTGTAAAAATATTCTAACTTACTTTTATTTAGGAACGTCATTATAATATCACTTTGATCGATAGCTTTCTTATCTAGATCGGTTATAAAATTCTCTTGTTCTTGTAGATCTCGTTTCGAGCGAGAGAGAGATTCTGCGGTTTCTTCCTCTGTCAATCTATGGTAAACATCAAGCAAAAATTGCGGTGCAGATTTTCTGAAAATAAAAAAATTTTAAATATTTTATTAGGGAAGATATTTTAATTTTCTGAATTTATTAAATATAGTTTTTGCATAAAGACATAAGCCATTTCATCATTTCGATGGTATTATTATTTTGTTCTAACTTTACTTTAAATTATATAAAAATCGGAAATATACAGATTTAAAGATTGAAGGGATTCACTAGGTGGCAAAGCGTTCTAGTCTTTAATAAAAATAATATGTATTACTATAATAAGGAACAGTATTACTCCAATAAATGATAATACATAAATGCATATGAAAATTACATACAGATTATATTCTGTATGATTTGATACATATCTAGAAATCAAAAACAGAAACAGATACATCATAAATAAAATAATAATATATGTATATAAAATTGTTTTAATTCCAAAAATTAAATAAATAAAAAATAAAATTATAAATGTTTCAAATTAAATATTTCATAAATATTATATATAAAACAATGCACTCATTTGTCATCACTACAAATCCAGTTGTGCATTAGTCGAAATGTTATTACTAATTTTGGTTTATTATATTTAAATTATCACAACATTAATGGTCGATAATATATTAAAGAAAAGTCTTACACTCACGCATGCGTATTCGATGACGCACCCTTAAACTGGTATATTCGTCAGAGGAAAAAAAGATACGCCCACTTAAAGAGGATATTATTTTATGGAAATGTTAAAAATTTTTGAAGAAGTAAAGCTTTTGAAGGTTCGCAACTTTAATAGACTTTCGATACTAACTTTTTAAAATATCAACTTCTTCAACTAATTGTTATTACAATTGTTGTTGTTACTAATTGTTGTTACAAGTTCACTTTCGAAGACTTAGATGTGAACTTAAGAGTACTTCTTACTTTGTGAAACTCTTTACAGATTTTAGACATAATAAAAAAAGTTATTTGGTTTTATTAATTCGTAAATAATTTATTTTTGATATTCAAGTTAAATTTCAAATATTTATAGCCTTTAACATTTTATTAGTATTACTTTTTAAAACCGACACGAAGAGCGTTTGTTGAATAATTTCTACACACAACCAAAATTTACATTAACATTATATTTCTTACGTTATTTGATCATCCTTATATAGATAGCTGATTCAAAAAGTGTTACTAAAAAGCACTTGAGTGCTATTTTGTGCCATATTAAGCAAAATTGGTTCATTTTTATAATATTCTAATGCAGTAATTAATGTTTTTTTTTAAATTAAATAAGCCGTGATAAATGCGACACAAAAATATTGGGATTGCGACACAAAACTTGAGATTGTATATAATACCCAATTAATAAGGATATTATTTCTGGGACTGTTACAAATATTTGAAGAAGTAAAGCTTTCAAGGGTATGCAAATGTAGTAGAGCTTTACTTTTTCAAATATTTTTAACGGTGCCAGAAATAATATATGTTTTTATTATAGAACACATATTCAATGTCAAAAACTAAAATGTAAAATAGTCGAATTTGATAGTCGAGCTAAATGTCAAATATTTCTAGAACTTCTTCAATGGTAGGTTGCAGACGAGAGAAGGTAGGTTGAACACAAACCATATTCAGATGGGTTTTTAAAAGAAATACGGAACACATAGTGAAAGTTATTGACGTGACCACCGAGGAAAGAACGATACATAATAAGTTTAGTTCAAAAGCTATCATATTTGTCAATCTATTTGATTTAATGTAATATAATATACACCCAATATTATATATATACTATGTATAAATTTACATTTATTTGTATAAAAATTTATTTAAACACTTATAAATCAAACTATATGGACAAATCACTTGAAACTGCTCATAGACAATTTGTCAGCAAAATTAATCGGTTTAATGAGTATACAAAATTTGTAATATAAACACTTAATGTAGTGTATATGTGTGAGATATGTTTATTTTTTGTTTTATAGGAGATTAATATTCAAATTATATTATACAATTTCACCTAAACTATATAAATTGTCTATTTAATCGAAATTGCTTTCAAACGCTAGGAATACGAATTGCACCACTCATGTTTATATTGTGACGTCACATATATAGCGACCTCTTAGGAGCTATAAACATTTTTCTTTATAATCTTTATTATAAGGTATAAGGTAAACAAATTCAATTTTATTTTATTAATAGTATTTTATTATTAGTATATTATAGTTTGTGATATGTATATTAATACACTGATTAATGTCATATGAGTGTGTTAAAAATGTCATATCACTAAAATTGCGACTTAATTTTATTTTTCAAGCCGATGATGACATCTTTGAGAATTCTAGTAAATGTAAAAACAAAAAATAAATTTTTTTATTGCACACTTCAAAAATCTTCAACTACCTTACAAAGTCAAAGACCAGAGTTGAACTCTGTTAATTTTAAAGAGCGGATTAATTATGTTTTCGTAGCATAAGATGAGGATTGTCTTGTCAGTCGGGAAAGACATGACTACAAATTTTTGGTATAGCAAACGGATATTGTTAATTAACTACCTTGAAAAAAGCTGCACAATGACTGGAACATACTATAGGTATGTTCACGTACTATCACTCTGATAGTACGGTATTTGTCTGTTAAAACTGTGGTGCACATTGTCTATATTCAAATGCTACTCGTATTGAGGTTTGGACTAAAAACACTCTTAAGCCTTTAAAAACTAATATAATAAAAAAATTATGTGTTACGGAAAAAGCACTGGCTTTCTACATGATGCCTAAAGAAAAGCTCAATTTAATCTGGTATTGCTAAGGACCAATGGTCAATGTTTAGCATAACACCTACTAAATTAACCTAACTTAATTTTAACTTAATATACCAAAAAAGAAACATTGTCATTTACCAAGGAATAGGGTTTGTTTGACAATGCTATCACAATGCTCCGGGTGACACTCAGACAGGAGTTATGATGCAATGCGATTTTTTAGAGTTCAGTGAATTAATTTAATTGTTAATTTAAAAAAAATATATGCCAATGTTAGCCAGTCTCATGGAAAATGAACTTACTTCAGTCCTAAGAAATAGGTGAGTTGTGATAAGGGAACATTAAAATTGTAATAAAAAGTTTTGGAATCTGATTGTTATCACAACGGTAAAATTGTGGTTAAATAAGTTGGAACCTCGTAGTAAACACGACAAAAAAATATTGGAAAACTTGGAATTGTATATACGAGGAATGTTTGATAAATCAGTGATGTATGAAATAACAAATAAAAATTTTATTTAGTGATGACTGGTGTAATTATGTTATTATCATTAATTTATAGTAAAAATCTGGGATTTAATGTATTTTTAACAATCATATTGTAGTTGCTAAATAAAATCTATAAATCTGAATTTAATAACATTTGAATATAAAAATGCTCAAAATTATTATTTATGGTACTTACCTTAATGACAGATGTGAATGCTTCCGTCGGGGTCTTTCAGCTAAACCTAAAAATTCCAATATTTCATATGAAACATGAATTTTGTCATCCTCATCCAAAGTACGTTGCATCACTGTTTGATCGAGTCCATTGTCGATGTAGATACCCGATTGACTCGCACTTACTAATATATTTTTTATACTTAAATTACTTAAAAGTATTACTAAAATCGGTAATAAAATTAATCTCTTCCATTGGAGCATCATTTTGAACCGATTATGATGGCGCCACAGTTTATTAGTCAATATTTTGCACCACATATTATTCACTCCTGTGTTACGTAGAACGAACTCAAGATTTTTCTTGCTTTTCAACAAATCGTGTATGTTAAAGTTTTCATCTTAACACAACAAACTCAACTGATGTATTCGCACGGAAAAACTACGGAAAATATCAAATCAAATTTCGAACGCAATAAATTAAATGTTTAAGTGTTTTTATTTTTGTTAATTTTACGTTGAAATTATTGTTTACATTTAAAACAAATTATAAAAGGTGCATTAAATCCCAACAGACATTTGGCAGAATTTTTTTTTTCATTTTTTCAAATAAATTTTCTAAAAAGTGAGATACAATATTTTTAAGCTTTGAGTTTATAAATAGCATTCAACAAATTCTACATCTGTTGAATTTCTAGTTCAGCTTAGAATAAATTAAGAAACTAAACTTTGTAACCACTTCATGGCACATACAAGATACAAGATACAAGATACAAGATACCGAGATACAAGTATGTATAAGAAATATTTGCAAGTATGAAAAAAAAAAACAAATACGTAAAGTATGGATTAAAAATAAAATACATTGAATGTTCCTTTACTATAAAACTTCTTTAAAATAAATAAACTAAACAGTATCTTAAATCACTCGGCCATATCTCTAGCATTAGCATTGACCAGATTCTTGCCTTTATAAATGCCTCTGGCTGGTTCTAGCTTGACCTACTCTCTACCACCCACTATTACGAGGTTTTATGAATTCAAAACGGCTTGTTTTAGCTAATTGAGAAGGACTCGTTCCTATCTCCACCACAACTAACTAGAACCTTAAATAGTGGTCTAATAATTTTAGTGAAGCATAACGAGTGTTTAAATAAAATAGAGTTTTTGATTATTTCAGTTAATTTTCAGTTATGTAGAAGTATGCTTCAGACTAATGTAATAATAACAGTGCAACAGATAATGGAATAGAGGAAACCAATACAGTCACATCCAATTACCCACATATCTATCCAGGAGTATGCAAAATGAAATTAAAGTCTACTTATTCATCTGATCATATCACGTTGGCATTCTTAGTTAAGTTTTTTCATTTGATAAAATAAAATATTTACAAATAAAACAGGTTTCATTTATCTGATTATGTACATATAAAAAAATATAAATATAACTGAGAATAAAAAAAAAATTATTATCAAATATGCCGCTACTTCAATAGACAAAATTTCATAATTCTTGCCAATAGATTAGAATTATTTCTTGCAAGATATTTTGGTTTATAATAGAATAAAGTAATTAATTTAGGTCAGAGAGATTTTATCTATTTGTAGAATAATAATTTTCTTGTTAATTGTCTGTGGGATTTTATTCCATAGAAAACTCGCAATAATTTTTAACTGCACTATAATTTTACAATAAGTAATTTTTATTCAATGGAAATTAAAGATCAGTTTGTCTTATCATAGAAGAAAGTATTGTATGCCTTTGTGGTTTCATATTTTGTATTTCGACAGAGAGATTTCCAAAAAAAGTTTATATATAATTTAGAATTACAACTTATCTTAAAACACAGTCGTGACTAGATATTTTAAATAATTATGAAACAATGTCTGCTTCCACTTTCGAAAAGTTTTCAGTTTTAAGTTAATATAAAAATACACTGAGAAAGCATTTTTAATACAATTTATGTTTAATTTTATTTAAAAAATATATGTGTCTAACACCTAACATTTATTTTTTTGAAAATAATCCCTTTAAATTCTTTGAATTTTTTTATTAAAGTTTTCTTTATTTGCATTCATACTCTTCGTCACACTCCATCGATCCAGTAGATAATAAATCGTATTGCTTGTTACGTGTCAATATACTTTGAGAAATATTGTGGACCTACATTTTAAGTACATTGTTCCACGACTGCATTCTTAACGTCAATTTTTTTTTAAAATAATCGGTGTGAATTCTTCGAAATCTTTATTAAACTTTCATTGTTGGATCTATTCTCTACGTCACAATCATATTTCTAGAACCAGTAGACAATTGATGATATTGTTTATCACGTATCAATATACTTTGAGAAATATTGTGGACCCATATATATTGTTTTAGGATTGAACTCTTGACGTCAATTTTTTTGAAAGTAAACTGTATCAATTCTCAATTCTTCTAGTATTTTTATTTAATTAAGTGAAAGTGACGGCAATATAAACAAATAAATAAATAAAAAGAATTATAAAAAAGAAAAAGAATAATGTAGAAATTGAAGGTAATTGGGGGTAATTAGTTCATCTTAATTATGAAATTAATTAATTATGAAAAACAAAAAAGCTAAAACTACCTATCAAACTACCTATTAGTTGAAAATTTAAAAACTGTAACGGTTTGACTCTTTAAGTTGAAAATTTCACGACTATGTCTACCATCAAGGGTTGACCGAGTCATGACTGCATATACCTATACTTTGTACTCAAAACAAAAATGGAATATAGATATCAATTTTTATAAAAATACAATATAATCAATAGCTTTGAATTTTTAAATAGATATTTAAATTGAATTATTATTTTTGAATTATTATTTATATAATTACAATCAAACTTCCATAACTCGAACTTTTATAACTCTAATTTTCTATAACTCAAACTAAATAGAGTATGACAGGGCTTAGAGAGCAAGTTACATAAAATTCTTTAATTCAAATTCTCCATAAATGGTACTTCGAGTTATGGAAGTTTGACTGTAATCATATTAATTAATATATTCATATTAGGAGTTAATACTCCGAAGAAAGTCACAGTGCATAGGATGGATAGATTGTGTCTACAAAATGCTAAGTTAGAGAATATGAAAAAGATATTGAAATCATATATGAGAGTGACCGACCAACACTGTGTTGTGATAACGTGAAAAATATCCTAAAAACGATACCCAAACAACTACAGCTGATATTGATTGTGATATTTAAACAATTTCATAACAATAATTATGTTCTATTGCAATATTAGATGGCTCTTATTTTGATTAGACATACTTATTATTAGAAAAACATACTTGTTTTAATGAAAGACAATATATTGTTATACCAAACTACTTATTTACTATTATATGTTGGCTAACGTACACCTCCGTGATACGCTATTAATCACTTTGATTAAATAAAGTTCTTTTAAATGTTTCTTTATGATCATTAAATTCTTTAAGAGAGGCTTCTGAGACCAGTGCGTTGAAATTAAAATCTTATTTTATCACAGTAATATATTCGTCTACTTTCCAAAGAGTAAATACATTTTGAATAATCTGCAAATCTTATTAAAAATTGTATATAACAAATAAATCAGAAAATAATTTATGTTGTAGTACTATCATTGAGAAAAAGGAAGAAAAGAACTGATGTCAGTTAGACAAAAACCTATGATTTTGCTACATGTTGCATGATCAGTAATATCTGTTAGAATCCTTGGGTTAACTATAGAATATATGAAGAATATGCATAAAAACAATAAACCCTATAGATTATATTTCATTTATGCCCTGGTTTCGAGAGAACAAGAATAAAATCTTTGAAAAGTTAGCAACATTTCGGAAAAATGCTATATTTGAAATAATTCATAATTTTTATAGTCTTTTAATCATTCTGTAATAGGCTAACATGCAACTATCATAGCATTAATTCTAAAGAAAATAAAAAAGCAGTGACCTCAGGGCACATTGATTTTTTAGGAAGAATTTTCGAAGAACAACAAAAAAATGTTCTTGACTTATAGCTAAGTTTCCGATAGAATCTATGCGAACTCTTTGGGCAAACTATTATTCTGATTGCTAGATACCTGATAGAATTCATGCGATGATAAATTGTTATATTGACATCTACTTCTATATATTTTTTGATATTTAGTACCAGAAAAACTTGGAAAATACGTAGTATGTTATATACGTATATAACAAAAGAAGAATATTGTATTACGTATGTATTCATATTATTTGCTAATTCATTAGGTTTATTTGAATAGAATTTTTCGTTTACATAAGTCGAGGATATTATAGCCTTTTAACACTAGACAATGTACCTTAAAATGGTTTAGTGTTCGATTAATTATTTTCTACTAGATCTATTCTTTAATTTTCTTTTCATTACCAATATTAAATCTATATCTATAAGCCTGACTAACATCCCAAATATAATTCTTAGAAGAATAATCTGCTTTATCAAAGGCTCAGCGTGATCTCTAGAACAAAGTCTTAAGGCTTATATCCAGGTGTCTTAATAAAAGTGGCTTATGTGCTACTGGGAGTGCAAAAAGAACTCTGTCGCTGCCAAAATTTAATAGTAAAAGAATTAAGGAATTTGTGCACCTTCACTGCTATACGTTAGTCTAACTGAAACTAGATTATATATATATATATTTAAATATCTCTGGTTAGATCTTTGTTTCGGGAAGAGTTATCATAAGTTATCATAAGTAATTTAGAAAGAATTTTTATTGTTTATGTTGAAGCTATTTGAGCCAGTGCACTTGAGCACTTTTACTCTTTATTAACTCGAGGTATTTTCAAAAAATTCTTCTTTACGTCTTGACTGGATTAATGTTTATCACTTCATCAGACTAAGCAATAATTGACCTTATATCATAAGGTCAATTATTTATTTGATTATGTATTTAATAATATTTGTTGTAATTAATTTTTGTTGTCTTTTTATTTCTGTTTGAGTCCTTTTAATTTTTATATTTCTAAATATAGTAGGAATGAATTGATATTGAATATATTGCACATATATTTAAATATATTTCTTTGAATAAATTTTTGAGGGGACTTCAACCTCTCAAGTTCGCCTGACTACATGCCTGTATATAAGTATATTTATTATTATAGTATACAAAAATAAGTTATTTTTTAGCATAATGTCTACTTCTGAATCGATGTAAAATTTCGCTGCTGATCAGTGGTCTATATAAGTGGGGGTTTTGGGGTTTAAACCCTCTCTAAAATATTTTGGACCATTTTATACTGGATATTAATGATTTTTTTAGGTAAATTTTTTCATAATCATATTTTTTCAGTGTTCGAAACCGAGTCTAGATTTAAAAGATATATAGCGATACCAGCAGATTAGAATCTTTCAAGCCAGTTAATGTTAATAAAGTTTACTTAAGATATATGTGTAATAATTGAATTTTAAAAGATAGTTCACTTTAATATCAGAAAGTAAGTTCTGCCTCGCAATAGTAATAACGCTAAAAAATGTTAGCCAAAAACTAACGAGTTGTTTAGGAGTTTCTTTGGTGTTATATTCCATTTATTTTCTGCATTCGTACTGCGGGTGATATATAACAAATTCTATTAGGTTTGTTTGTATATTATTAACTAAAAATTTCAATCAATAACTCGGATAGTCATCTGCTTATAATACATATAAATACTGAATAGTTTTCAAGACCCCCTTTCTTTTACCCCTTTAAAAGAGTCTCTGTATACCGCTGCTGCCACTGTTCACCGAATATCTTAGTTGTTTAACAACTAAAAAGTTATTGTACGAAAAAGAATTTCGTTTGCCAGACAACACGCGCGCTTTTAATATTTACTTCAGTATACTTCCCGAGTACTTTATAATCTATAATATATGGCACATGCAACAAGATCGTGTTGTATAATTTAATTAATTGATATACACAGAATTGAAATGTAAACAATGGAAAAGTGGCGAAAGTAATGGTATATGGTATAACAAAATCTTTATATACAATTATATATATCCACAAAACTATAAGTATGTGAGTAGTTCAATGTAGCCTCTTCGATGTTTGAGCTACATATATTATACGGATGCGGCTGTCGATGATTTCAATGAAGCTGCTTTTGTTTATTGCTGCTTTTGTTGAGCAAAAACGCAATACTTCTGATTAATTTTACAATAAAAATAATTAAAATAATAATACTAATAAGAATAATAGGCTTTTACGTTTTTTACTTTATATTTCATTAGTATTCCGCGATGATATTTCGCTTTCAAATAGGAAAGCTGTACGTAGTTGTATTTCAATGGGAGTGCCTTCGAGGAGAATTGAATTTCTTTATGAGTATTTCACACAAATTTATTTAACACAAAAGCCACACAAGCAACCATTTTTCCATTTTTCCATAAAACATTTTTTATGTTTTAATTATTATTAATAATCTTTTATTGCATAATTAGAGTAATAAAGTTTATTTCATGCACTTAATACACAAACTAATTCCATGAATCGCACGATTTATAATTTTTTGAAAAGAATTCTTTAAGAAAAAAACATTTGCCTAATGTCGATAAATGAGCAAACCGAAAAAGACGTCCGTTAACGATAGTGCATTGCGCAGAGGTTCAGAAATAACTGATGAGAGACTTTAAAAATTGTGTGTAAATAAAAAACAAGCTAAACTAAACTAACTTGTATTATAGAATCTCGAACCGGCACTCTTTTGCCACCGATATACTAACACACTAAAGATACTTTTCTGTGTGTATAAGATACAAGCTCCACATTGCAAAGATACTCGCTCGCAATGTTTGTGCTATTATTGTAATCGTCTTATAAACTAACGTCTAAACAAATGCAGAAGGCCAGGTATTTATTGTTTCAATAAGAAACACTGGAGAGTTTTATCTCCGTGAAAACAGAAGCAGATACGTGCCTATATACGTACGAGTATCTGCGCAAGTTGTGCGGATGGATGGATCTTTATTAAATTGAAAACAAACATCATTACTTGTCTTTCAGCGGAGAGCGATTTGGGAACGAATATAAAATGACTTTATAATTTTCTGTTTACTGAACATTTAAATGCGTGCAGACATTTAAATGTATTCAAATCCTTTTCTGATTTTACCTGATATATACACTGAAATTATTTATTGCTTATTGGAATATATAAGAGTACAATATAAAAATTAGAAATTGAAATTTAGTAATATACTATTAAACACTGAAATTAATTATTGCTGATTGAAATATATACAATAAAAAATAAATAAATTAAAAAATTAAAAAAATCAAAGAACCTTTTGACCTTTTGAGGCGTTTCAACCATCAAGGAGATGACTAGCTCAGATCAATATAAGTAGATCTTGATCTAGATAAGTTACATTACTTGTTAGACAATATGATTAGTTCTTGTTAATTTAAAATTTGCACTTAATTTATATATAATAAAAAAATATGTATTTAAAAAGAATAAATACAAAAAATAAAAAAATTAGAAATATAGTTCAGGACGCAAATTATTTGTGTATTATTATGGTAGTATTTAGTAATATATTATTAAACACTGAAATTAATAATTGTTGATTGAAATATATATAATAAAAAAATCAAAGAACCTTTTGAGGCGTTTCAACCAGCAAGGAGATGAGTAACTCAGATCAATATAAGTAGATCTTGATCTAGATAAGTTACATTACTTGTTAGACAATATGATTAGTTCTTGTTAATTTAAAATTTGCACTTAATTTATATATAATAAAAAAATATGTATTTAAAAAGAATAAATACAAAAAATAAAAAAATTAGAAATATAGTTCAGGACGCAAATTATTTGTGTATTATTATGGTAGTATTTAGTAATATATTATTAAACACTGAAATTAATAATTGTTGATTGAAATATATATAATAAAAAAATCAAAGAACCTTTTGAGGCGTTTCAACCAGCAAGGAGATGAGTAGCTTAGATCAATATAAGTAAATCTTGATCTAGATAAGTCACATTACTTGTTAGACAATATGATTAATTCTTGTTAATTTAAAATTTGCACTTTATTTATATATAATAAAAAAAATATGTATTTAAAAAAATAAATACAAAAAATAAAAAAATTAGAAATATAGTTCAGGACGGAAATTATTTGTGTATAATTATGGTAGTATTTAGTAATATATTATTAAACACTGAAATTAATAATTGTTGATTGAAACATATATAATAAAAAAATCAAAGAACCTTTTGACCTTTTGAGGCGTTTCAACCATCAAGGAGATGACTAGCTCAGATCAATATAAGTAGAACTTGATCTAGATAAGTTACATTACTTGTTAGACAATATGATTAATTCTTGTTAATTTAAAATTTGCACTTTATTTATATATAATAAAAAAAATATTTATATAAAAAAATAAATACAAAAAATAAAAAAATTACAAATATAGTGCATGATGGAAATTATTTCTGTATTATTAGTATTTAGTAATATATTATTAAACACTGAAATTATTAATTGCTGATTGGAATATACATATATAATATAAAAATTTAAAATATACTTTAACAGTATTTTATTCTAAAATTCAAATTATTATACTAAAATTAAAGATTACTACCATTTCATAATACTAGAGAATTATTTCTCAAATAAATATAAATAGATTAACGACACACAAAAGCCAACCGATTAAAGCATATTTATAAAAATGATAATCTTATTATATTTCAGTTATTTCTGAATCTGTGCTCAATGCATTATCGTCAACGGACTTAGTTTTCGATTTTACGTTTATCGATAGGTCAGTGTTTTCGTTATAAATACATTCAATCATTTTCTAATCTAATGTAAAGTCTTCCCAAACACCCGCTACAAAAAAAAACCGACTATGTAGTAGGTGCTGCCTTGCCCTATTGACCAATGTGTGCTTGTTTGCACAGGGCCTTGAACTGGAACCTTTTTCGTTTGCGTTTAAAATATGGTATAATTTTAATATAATAATTTTAAAAAATGTCAATTCGGTTCCGGTTTTATTGGTTTTTCCTATTCCTAATATATTTTAAAAACGTTTAAAATCGCATATATAATTCTTTTAAAAAAGATTAGTTATCGTATTTATTTAATAAAAATATAAAATAAAAATTCTGTATATTTATAATTAAAACTAATTTAACTAACTTTTATCTTTCATTCATTAAAGTTTAAAAACTGTAAAAGATATTGCTTGCATATAAGCAGATATTGAGCTATACGTTACCTGTATTATACGGTACATGACCTACCTATATATTATTTTCAATTCAAATCATGGTTTTGATACTTGGTTAAAAAGCATTTTTTGTAGACTAAAGATGTCTTAAGCTGACTTTTTTTTTAGAAATTTCATTTTTATTCTGTCAAACAATTTTATGACATTTTATTTTTTAATTTTATGACATTTTTTGATAAATAAAAGATATTTCCGGCATGATAATTTACAATTTAGATAGTTCTCTTGGTGAGCTACTCTTTTTAAGTTAAGATTTTATTTTAAGATCTGGAACTGTTGAGATTTAAAGAAGTGTGTTACATTCGGATCCACTATTATATAATCGAGCTCATGATTGTACTGAACCCATTATTACTAGATTACTATAGACCAAAGTACTCTTCTATTTTTATAGAAACTTAAATGGCTTATTTATAGTTATTGACGTATTAAAAATTATAATGCAGACTGAATATGGAATGATATAATTTATAATGTTTGTTACAATCAAGTCTGTCTGAGGAGACAAAACATAGTTTTTGCTTAAAAGCGAATGAGACCTATTCTGGAACGGTAAACCACGGAATCGTTTTCACAAAACGGAGCAATTTTTTTAAACGATTTATTGTAAAAATCGTATAGTTGGGTAAAGTAAGAAAAACTGTGTGTTAACAAATCCACTTGTACGCTTTCTGGCGAACACTATCAGACTAAGTGAGTGACATTTTCCCCTCCTCACTTAACCTTCAGCTATGACAGTAGTCATCGTAAAGAGGTAATTTATAATTAATTAGTGTTTCTGTTCATAAGATAATCTTATATTCAGTTACTAATACAACTACTCTTGAAATGTGAGTCCTACTGCTTTTATTTGGTTGATAAAAGTAGTAGTATTTAATAGTATTTTTAATTCCAACTATATTGGATATCAAACCTAGTTACTTAGGTTTACCTTAGTTACTTAAGTATGCAAATTGATAGTTTTTTAAACCTTTGTCTTTCTTTGTTTTCTTCAATCTCACACTTCCATCATTTAGTATCGGCAGCGTATTCGCAAGTCTTCTTTAAACTTAGTAGCATCGTCTCTATTGTAAAGACCTTAAATCTTCTTGTTATATCTCAGGATATATCTTCTATCTATGTCAAATATTTTATATCATATTTTTGCTATACATAAAAAATTAAAAAAATTAAAATTATTAAAGAATATAATATATATATATAAATAATAAAAACAATTATTTTTTTACTGTGTACATGAGATTCAATCACTTTTTTTTTTTATTAAACAAATTTTGGCTTTCTCATAACTGAAGTATTTATTTTATTTTCTTTTTTTTTTTTGTCATTTTAAAGGCGCCAGCAATTTCACACAACAGGTTTTTCTTTGCCTTCAATGAAAACAGAAAAGGCATTGTAATTATGTCCTGCTGTGTGTAAAATGCCTTCCTTTAAATTTAACCAGGAGCGGATTTTTAAGTAATATTATTATTATAAATTTTATTAAAACATGTCATGTTTATAATATTACATTATAAAAAAATATTAAAGACAATATTAAAAATAAATTGTATGTATTTTTTTAGTAATAAAAAAAATAAAGAAAATACAAACATTAAAATAATATAAAAAAAAAATCTGTGCAGATTATGTTAAAAAAAAATAATTACAAAAATAATTTTATATTAAAAAATTAACTTAAAAAATTAAACAAATCTAACTTGAAAATATATAAAGAAAACAAAAAATTTTTTTATGCTGGTACTGTCCTGAGGTAATTGTAAAAGAATGCAAAATTGATTGAAGTAAAACTTGTGGAAACTCAAAGAACTATATCTTTAACTATGGCAGTTTTTTTTTTAAGTCCAGAATATCGGAAACATAAATAACACGAAATTCATTTTCCAAATAAAACACCATTATAAATATTTTTAACTTCTTGCAGACTATATGTCCTTTGATCCCAAATGATAGCGTAGAAGCTTTACTTCTTCATCGAATTCGATTGTTAACTACTGCATTCTCTTACTTTAATGTTTTCAATATATATTTATATATATTACTGTATAACAATTCCACTATAGTTCTTATCATACTCTTTTTTTGTTCCATAAGAAATTCAGTGTAGAGCAAAACTATACAGTTTATGTGTTTCTTGAAAGAAGAGTAGTAGAATCCTTAGCTTTTTACATTTGTGGAGAGATTTAACAGGTATACATTATCTTGTTTGAAATTTACGTCAATGGTTATTAGAACAAATAAACGAAATTGTGTTTGCTTACTCTTGGTTAACGGTACGTAAGAAAAAATATTATTTAGTGAGGGCGTCTGTTTTGTAGCCGCACCTAACCTGGTGAACAGACGCTACAAAGACATCAGTGAACCCTTA